AGTGGGAGCCCCTGGTTTACGTGTCCGTGGCTGGAGCAGAAGTAGGCCCCGAGGAGAAGTGGACAGAGCGTCCAGGCTCCCAGGACCACTCACAGGGCAGGACCCCTAGGGGGGAAGGGGGTGGGGCGGCTACACCCCCTGCGGCGTCTGAGTCTCGACTTCCTGAATCCTCTGCTGAGAGCTTGTGGATACCTACAGATGAGTTGGTTTGTTGGTTGGTTAGCTCAGTGGGTTAGAGAGTGTTGCCAATAGCATCAAGTTCTCGGGTTCGATCCCTGTTTGGGCCAACCTGTGGTGGTTTAGTTGCTAAGTCATGTCCAATTCTTGCGGTCGGGTGGTGGTTAAGTCACTAAATCGTGTCTGATTCTTGTGATCTGGTGGACTGTAGCCTGTAGGGATGTAGCTTTTTTCACCTTCTCAGGTGGCTCAGTGGTAAAGTATCTGCCTGCCAATGCAGGAGACACAAGAGATGCGGGTTTGATCCCTGGGTCAGAAGATTCCCTGGAGAAGGAAATGGCCACCCACTCCAGCATTCTTGCCTGGAACGCCCCATGGAGAGGAGCCTGGTGGGCTACAGTTCATGGGATCGCAAAGAGTTGGACACAGCCTAGTGTACACACGTATGTACAGGTGATACCAGAGAAAACTAAAGCCATTCATTGTGCGGGCAGGTATGGGGCAGGCTGAAATGCTGGGCATTCAGGTCTCACGATGGAGCGCCTGAACTTTGCACGTCCCAGGGGAGTTGCCGTTGAGTGGATTAGAAGAAATGTGAAGTCAGCCACTCACCATGCTGCCTGATTAGGGCAGAAGTCAGTGTGAGGCAGGCTGGCCTGGCTCTCAACCTCAGTCGCCAAACCATTTCCCTTTGCAGGATGCCCGTGGCCCCAACCCCCCATCAGAGAGCTTCGAAGAGCGAGGCTGCAAGGCCACTGCCTTCGTGGCCGCGTTGGCTGGTGCAGACTGTGGTCCTGTTGGGGCCTTCCTGAGCCCAGTGGCTGATCGCCCCGAACTGCGCTGGGCTAGCGTCCCCTGTTTGCAGCACCTTGAATACCACTGCGTCAGCACGCATGCAGTGCTGGGCTGATGGGGGGCTGGAGGCCCGTCCGGGGGCAGCTGGCTGCCCGTGTGGTACCAGGGCCCCAGCCGTACAGGAAGGGCTTGGACCCTTGGGGACCCTGGGAGAAGGCCCGGTGCACGGGGGCCTCATTTGGCGGCATGTCCTCTGGGGGTTTCTACCCTGCAGCCTCCGGGGCATGCCCCGTCGGACCGCTGGGCCCGCTGCGCCCCACGCGGGTGACCTGAGTCTCTGCAGGGCTTGCGGCTGCAGCCACTGAGCCAGAGAGGCTCTGTTTTTCCTCAACGGTTGGCCTTTCCCAGCGCCTCTTCAATGTCAAATGATTTTCCCGTGAATGCCAGGGCAGCATCTTTCCTCCTGCCCTATCAGCCCTCACAAGCAGAAGCCTGGTTTCCAGGAAAGCAGTCACTCGATCCGACCTGCTGAAACCCGGCCCAGCTCCCGGCAGGGCACGCCGCCCCAGGACTCCGCAGCACGGGGCTGTGCTAGCTGCGGCCTCATCTCATCCCTTCCAGCTGGCCAGCCTTCCTCCTCCTCCCCCACGCAGCCTCATCCTCCGGGTCCCTCTCCTCCGCGACATCCAGGCTGGTCATTTGTGGAGTGCTGGGAGGGCTTTGGGTTTAGGGCCAGGGTCTGATTCTCTTTGTATCTGAAAATATCCCATGCCCTGGCTGCTCTAATCTCTTCTCTGGGCAGAGGCTCCTGGAATGCCACCTGCTCACTGCCTGGTGGGGCGGGGTGGTCTGGGGAAGACCCTCCGTTGCCGCGCCTCCCTCCCTGGGGCCACGAGCAATGCCGCGTCTCTGCACCCCACATCCTTGGGAAAGATGACTGGGATGCTGACATGTGATACCTAGGTACCTCCTGAACCAGCAACCATCTAAGTTAGCTCAGGGGTGCCTGGGCGGGCCATGGAAAAGCGGGGCTGTGTCTTGTGATGCGAGGAGGTTCTTTTCCTAACCATATATGTCCCCCCGAGCGAACCCATAAATAATGTGGCCACCCTGGCTGGTCCGTCTTTCCATCGCAGCCCTGGGAGCCCTCTGGCCGAGCTCGCTCTTCTCCTGTTTCAGTTTCCATGTCCTCTCAGCTCTGTAACCCAAGGAGCAACTCGGGGTTTAGCAACAGCTGACAAGCCAGCAGGCGGCTCCCAGCCGTGGCTCCTGGGGAAGGGGCGATGGACACTGAGCTGCAGCTGTGCCCCGGGGCGCCCTGTCCCTGGGAACGAGGATGTGTACTGGTAGGGGGCGGGGGGAGACAGAACCTTGGGTACCAAACCCAGAGGCTCTGGCGAGGCCACGCGAGTGAGGGATGAGCTGGGAGACAATGATGAGCGCTTCTCCTGGGAGGATCACACAGACACCCTCGCCTCACACCTTCACCCTCCGCCTCGGTTCCCCACCAGAAAGGGGGACCACCGCTCCTTCGAGGGGCGTGCGTGGCTAGATGCTGCCCCCTCGGCTGAATCGGGGAGCTTGAGGGACCTTTGCAAATCCAGCCCAGCCCTGAATTTTACGGGTGAAGACACTCGAGTCCAGGGGAGAAATGACTTGTTCCAAGGCGGGGTAGAGTGGGACTTGAACCTAGAGCCATTAGTCCGCACAGCAGGAAGCGCAGGGGCTGCCTGCTCCCCACACCGTGTGTTTCCCTTGCAGGGGGTGTGGGGGTGAATGCACCCCGGGGAGCTGGAAGACTCAAGGCAGCGGACACCACGGACTTCATCCCCGGAGTCTGGTCCCTGCACCCCTAGCTCTGCCACTGGCCCCTCCTCCTGCACCCCGGGAGCCCTTCCAAAAGCGATGGCTTTTCCTTCTGCCTCAAAGTAAATACCGCACCGCCGTCGCCTGGGGGAGGGACAGGTGGAGTGCCAGGTTGGGGTGCCTGGGCAGAACACCCAGAGCCGATCCCTGCCTCCAGCTGTTCTTTTATTGTCTTCACGCAGGCGGTGAAGGGAGCCAAGGGGGGAGGACCCACAGCAGCGGCTGGGGGCTGACCACGGAGGCCTCTGGGAGCCCTCGGCTCTGCTGATACTTTCGCTCACACAGGGGTGGGAGTCTCTGAGCACGCCCCTGAAGGCGACAGTGCAGACAAGGCCGCTCCAGGCCGGGGGTGGTGGGGGTGGAGGGGGTTGGAGGGGCGCCTGCCCTCAGGGCTCTGGAATGCCACGCATGTGTTTATCTGCTGAGCCGGGCCTGCCCGCTAGGTCCACCTCGGTGTTCTCCATGGGCTCACATGCCATCAGTCTCTGATAAACGTGAAAAAATAGCAACATCTGAGCCACCGACCTTCACATAGAGGCCTTGGAGACCACAGCCAAGGCAGATGCTCCTTCGTGGGGTCAGACAGCCAAGAGAAGCACATCCTCAGATGAGGGGCGGGGACGCCGGGGTCCAGGGTGCAGAGTCTGCCCTAGACACAGCCGGGCTCGGAGGCCACGGCAAGTGGGATGGGGCCTGATGCTGTCCGGGAGATGCCGGGCGGCGTGCCCTCTGCACGCTGAGGGTGGAGCCTGTCCCACCCGCCCCAGCCCCGCAGACATCGCTAGGCACCTAGCGTGTCGGATGCCACGCTGAGGCCAGGACCCCCAGGCAACCCTCTCCCTTGCCTACCCACCCCCCGCAAAGTCCCTGCCCCACCGTTCAGCCCAGACTTCCTGGTCTGTGGTGAAGGATGGGAGGACCTGGGGTTTTCCAGACAGTCTGAGTTGTGGGTTCTGATCTCTTCCTTAAAAAAAAAAAAAAAAAAGCCAACATTGCAGGCTTGCCTGCAAGGTCTGGTCCGGGCAGTGCAAGCAGTCTTCTTCTGGAGCCAACTCTCTGCTTTCTCTTTCCTTTTCCCTAAGACTTCCCAGGTGGCACTAGTGGTAAAGAACCCGCCTGCCAATGCAGGAGACTCAAGAGACGTGGGTTCGATCCCTGGGTCAGGAAGATCCCCTGGAAGAGGGCATGGCAACCCGCTCCAGTATTCTTGCCTGGAGAACCCCCCGGACAGAGGAGCCTGGAGGGCTACAGTCCAAGGGTTGCAGAGTCAGATATGACTGAAGTGACTCAGCACGCAAACACACGCAAGACGGCGGGCAGGTGAAAGTGGCAGAGGGGAGGCGACCTGTGTCTCCTGAGGGCTTGGTCTTGAAAGGCAAGGTTGGGTGATTTATTTATCTCCCCACCCATCCGACATGTGAGGCAGCTGGGGTTGGGGGGGTTGGAGTGGCCAGGATGAGCCGTCAGCGGTGGATGGGGCCACATCCCCGGCTGGCAAGCAGAGCCCGGAGTCTCTCTGGGGTTTGCTGTTGACACACCAATGTCCTCCCAATGACAGTCTTGTGAGGTCTTTCCCCATTTCACAGATGAGAAAACCGAGGCTCAGAAGAGTTAAGTTCTTTCCCAAAATGGTGACTTCAAAGCTGTGGAGCTACTGTTACAGCGGCATCAGGGGTATTCGGGATGATTGGACCGCTGGAGTGACCAGCCGGCCCCATTCGCCAGGGATTCTCGCAGGCTTAGCTACGCAAGTGTCCTGGGAAAGCTGTTAATCTTGGACAAATCCAGGGATGTTGGTCACCCCATTAAACGTGGGTCTGTCTCTCCTTTTCTTATTGCTTTTGATTTTCACAGCAACACACTGTTAACTTTAGCTGTTTTTTGGGGCAAAGACAGAGAACCGCCCCAGAATGGAGCGCAGGTCCCGATTCTGGGGGCTATTTGAGGATGATGGGGAGGAGCGTGCTTGGCACAGAGCTGGGAAGGCAGCGAATGCCCACTCAATGCCCACTCAGCAACACCTGTTGTCCCCCTAACCCGACGTGGGGGGCAGGAGAAGGGGAAGGGACACGGGAGTGAGAGCAAAACGGGGGACCCCGGTGGAGGGGAGGGAGTACCCGAGTGCCGAGTTCCTGCCAGGAGCGGCCTGGCCACCCCCAGCCATGTCCTGGAGGCTGGACGGCTCTGTGGGGCTCGCCTGGGGCAAGGGGCAGGAAGTCAGGTGAGGAAGCTCTGGCCAAGCAAGGATGTGGGGCCGGGGGGCTGAAGCCCAGCCCTGTCGTGAGGCGGGGTCCCCTTAGGGGATGTGAGGCCCCTCTGACAGTGGGGGGCAGGCAGGGAGAGGCAGAGGACCTCCGGGGGCGGGGCGCGGAAGAGGTTTCCGGCCAGTCTGTCAGCTGTAAGCGGAGTACCGGGTCCACGTGCCAGGCGTCTCTCTGCGCTTTACCACATTCAGCCCCTGCAAGTCTCCGAATCCCGGGAGGTTGGTGTCCTCCTGGTCCTCAGGATCTCCATGTTACAAACGAGAGTAAAGGCATGGAAGAGTAAAGAAACCTGTCCAAGGCCACACAGGGGAGAAGTGATGGAGCTGGTGTTCAAACGTGTCTGACCTTCGAGGAGGAGAGGCTTTCCCCCTTCCTTCCCTCCCTCCTTCCCTCTTGCCTTCCTTTCTTTCTCTCCCTCCCCTCTCCTCCCCTTCCTCCTCCTCCTTTTAAAATGATGCAGCCTTTTCTTGACGCACCAGGCTAGGTGGGTCGAGTCTAGGCAAAGTCTTCTTTTCCAGCCAGCCCCGGCCCGCTTCCTTTTTCACTTCCTTCCCCAAAGGCTGGGAGAGGGGACTATCTCAGCGCCCCCACCCTTTCCTGACTCAGGCCCCGTCGGGGAGAGGCTTGGTGACTGGTGTTCCCGGCGAGTGTGAGTGTGAGATAGGTGAGCGCGGATGAAAGGGGCTCCAGGAGAACATCTGGATCCTGGAGCCTGCCGACCGCCCGCCCCGCCCCGCCTCGCCCCGCCCCGCGAGTTCACGTCTGAAGCCCGGATCACGTCTCCACGGCTCGTCTCCATCAGGAGCCGGGCGGGGGAGGGCACAAACCCTGAGGTCAGCCGCGGGCTCCGTCCCCACGCGCTGCCCGGGAGGCAGCCTCCGAGCATCCTCTGCACCTGCATCTGGTGGGAAATCGGGGGTGGCAGTCAGGAGGGAACCTGTGCTGGGCGTGGGTTCCCTGCCCTGGGCAAGCTCCGCCTCCGCCCCGGCCCTCTTGACAAAGAGGGGCCGTGAGTCAGCGCTCAGGCCCCGCCCCACCCGCGGGGCGCCCCGGGCGGCCACCTCCTCACCCTCATCCAAGACTCACCTGTCTCCCGCTGACCCCCATCACTGGGTCTCCGCGGGGCTCGCCCGGGGACCGGACCGCCTGGGAACCGCAGGACCGCACCACGTGGCTGACCGGCCTGCACATCGATGCACCGAATTGAATGAACAAGACAGGCCCAGGACCAGCCACGCAGAGAGTCCGGCTTGTAAAGAAACACAGCATCCGCTTCTGAGCAGTGAGGACTCTTGGTTCACGTGGCTTTCGCGCCGGAAGTTCTCTTTTTGCCAACACGTTAGGGACTTGGACATAACGGCTACAGAGAAGCCGTTTCTAGGTAGAAAGCACTTTAGGGGGTGCCTGAAACTGCAGCGCTGTGGGGGGTGTCTGTGTGAATTGCAGACCACCACAGCAGGAGTAACTGAGGCTGAAACCAGTCTTTCTGAGTGAGTGAGTGAAAGTCGCTCAGGCGCGTCCAACTCTTTGCGACCCCATGGACTACACAGTCCGTGGAATTCTCCAGGCTAGGATACTGGAGTGGGTAGCCTTTCCCTTCTCCAGGGGATCTTCCCAACCCAGGGATCTAACTCAGGTCTCCCACACTGCAGGCGGATTGTTTACCGGCTGAGTCACAAGGAAAGCCCAGTCCTTCTAGCTCTGTAGAAAATTTATCGAATAAATGAATACAAATTCTGTTTTTAGGTCTGATGTTTGAGCAAGTGTTGACTGAGAATTCTCTGTAATCTGAACATCACTACTGATGCAAAAATGTGATTATTCCAATCTAATCTGGCTTGAAAGGGAGCAGTTTGAAGTCAGGACTAGATCATGCGACCAAGATGAAAGAATCAGTGACTACAGTACAACTCTTTGCAATACTTGGCTAAAGGCAGGTTGCACAGGTTTTATACTGCGCAACTTCCAGAAGGCGCTTTTCCTAGCAACCACAATATGCAGAGTGTTTTGCAAAGCAATGGCCCTGGGTAACACTTTCCCAATCCTTTTGTGAGAGGTATATGGGGAATTACCTGGTGGTCCAGTGGTTAAGATTCAGTGCTTCCAGTGCAACGGATGCAGACTCCATCCCTGGGCGGGGAACAAATATCCCACAGGAAGTACCATGTAGCCAAGAAAATAAATAAAAAAATAAAAAGCTGCTACCAGAACAAAACAGTGCATCTTATTTGGAGTGCATTTTTGTGTCTATTTAGGCTTTCCTTAACTGTTTACCAAATTCCATATATAATTCATTCATATGGATTCAGTCAATTTAATTACAGATTTACAGGAAGTTGAAGAGCAGTATACAAGAAGGTCCCAGGGTACACTTTATACACTTTATTGAGTTTTGCTCAATGATAAAACTAGACATAATATCTAATATGAAAACCAGAAAATTGCCATCATTACAATCCACTGAGCTTATTCAGATTTCAGCAGCTTTACATGCAGTTGTGTGTGTCGGGGTGGGGGGGGACACTTCAATACAGTTTCATCATAATAAACTGGTGGTCCATTCTGGAAACCACCTCCACAATGAACATACAGAAAACTATTCCACATCCGAGGATACCTCCCACCTATTACACCCTCCTCCATCCCTAACCTCTGGTGACCACTAAGTGGTCCTCTGGCTCTATAATTTCATTTCAAGATTGTTATATAAATGGGGATTTAATCTTTTAAAAAATTGCCAATCTTTTTTTTTTTTTTTTGCCAGTCATTTTTTAACTAATTCTTTTGCTAGAAAGTTCTGACTTAAAGATTTCTATGTAAGTATTCCTCAGGAGAAGTGTTTGAACTAGGGAGACCCAGCTATTAGGGATCACGAATATGGTGCCTAAAGTGACCAGTGAAACCAGGAGACCACTTATTAAGCACTTGCTGTGTGCCAGGCCCTGTGTTCAGGCTTCATGTGCGCTGCTGCTAGAATGGGGCCTCGAGAGGCCGACTCCTCCTTGGGGGTCATCCCCACTCTCCCCCAACACACACTTTTTACAGCTTCTGCACACGAGCTTCTCACTGGGTCACCGTCATTCCAACAGCAGGGTATCTCTCGCTGCTCAGGGAGCAGGCTCTCGGGCCTGCTTGTGGCTCTTGCATTGCTCTCACTGCTGAGACCAAACGCCACCTGGGAGCTGGGCACAGGTGGCCTTTGTCACTGGCATCGCTTCCTGGAGCCGTTTGGCTGCATCAGGGTCTCACCTCTGAAGATCTGCAGAGACCTGGAGCCGTTTGGCTGCATCAGGGTCTCACCTCTGAAGATCTGCAGAGAAACCCTTGCAGCTGCTGTTGGCACCCTTGGCACTTCCAGGAACTAAAGCTTAATGGAGAGGAGCTCGTTTTCCCAAATCCCCAGCTGTGTATGCGTTTAGGAAATTCCCTTCTTTAGGTCATTAAGGCTCAGTGGCCTGGTGAGCCCAGGTCTCCAGGGACGTAACGTAATTGGCCCAGGATCTGGGGGCTTTGGGCTGAACTGGCACAAACAGGTGAACGGGATGTGAATTACAGGCGCCTCCGGGCTCTCAGGTCCAGAGGGCCCTGAACACCGGAGGGAACTTGACGGGTCTGACCAATTAGGTGCCGTGTTACCTGAAGTAAAGGCGTCTGCTGAATAGCGCTTTGGAGCCCATGTCGCACTCTGGCTTTGTGAAATCTCTACCTATTTGTCAGTGGAGCTATGCCTGACGGAGAGCAGATACAATCTCGGTGTATTCTTCAGCCTTGTCTGAACACCAGCGAATATACTCCAGCCAATCTCCAGGCAGAGTCTTCTGGGATGGTATCCCAATGGTATAGAGATTGAATATTTACAGCCGTTTTGAAGTTGGAACACCTGTTGTTGTTTGGTTAGCGTGGTGGCCAAGAAGGTCATGTTGCCTAACATTTATACTTTATTTATTTAGGCGACTAATAATTGATGGTGTTGGTGGGATTTTGTTGGACTAAAAAAACTGGAGGCCCCTTGAACATTACAACAGGAGATAGCTTGCGTTTAACCATTGTTTCTAAGCTAGAATCTGAGGCCATAGAGCCAGAAGTAAAAAAGACTGATATTTGGTTCTCACCTAAGGAGAGAAACAGTCATGTCATTGTCAGCAGGTACACTGACATCGGTGAAATTACATTCACCCCACGTGGTAGACAGCTTTGATGACTTTAGAAATTTTGCAGATGGTGACTGCAGCCATGACATTAAAAGACACTTTCTCCTTGGAAGGAAATCTATGACAAACCTAGACAGCACATTAAAAAGCAGAGACATCACTTTGCTGACAAAGGTCCATATAGTCAAAGCTATGGTTTTTCCAGTAGTCATGTATGGATGTGAGAGTTGGACCCTAAAGAAAGCTGATGCTTTTGAACTGTGGTGCTGGAGAAGACTCTTGAGAATCCCTTGGACTGCAAGGAGATCAAACCAGTCCATCCTAAAGGAAATCAGTTCTGAATATCATTGAAAGGACTGATGCTGAAGCTGAAGCTCCAGTACTCTGGCCACCTGATATGAAGAGCCGACTCATTGGAAAAGATTCTGATGCTGGGAGGGATTGAGGGCAGGAGGAGAAGGGGACGACAGAGGATAAGATGGTTAAACAGTATCACCGACTCAGTGGACATGAATTTGAGCAAAATCCAGGAGATGGTGGAGAACAGAGGAGACTGGTGTCCATGGAGTCAGAAAGTGTTGGACACGACTTAGTGACTGAACGGCAACAACATTAAACTTTTGTTCTTCAATCCTTGGCCTTGGAAACCCCTCATTCTCAGTCCCCTTTCTCATTATGGTTAAAATAGTGTAGTAGTGACTTGTGAGTCCCTCAAGGACAAAAACAAACAGATTCCCTTTTAGCAGATTACAAGTCAAAACAAACAACACTAAAGGAGAGTCCAAAGTAAGTTGATCCTAAAAGGAACACAGCAAAATTTTTGTTTACAAATAAGAACACCATGATGCACTGGAGATAGAATTTCTCCATAAAGAGAAGTCCTTAGATTTATCACATGGACTCACCGTCCACCCTTTCCTTCGTAGTGGGCATCCTTCTGTGAGAAGCACATGAAAGCCCCCCTTTCTGTCATCTACAATCTTAACATCCAGAAAGTTGTGAAAACCCACAAAGTTTTGTATATCTGAGGCCATTGGCAGCAATATCTGACCCGAGCTGACTTAAAACTATTTACAGGACTTATTTATCTCATTTACTGTGAGCTTTCACATTTCATCACAAAAATATTGACATTTGGGCACGGACATGAACTTGGGCAAACTCTGGGAGGTGGTGAGGGACAGGGAGTCCTGGTGTGCTGTGGCCCATGGGGTCACAAAGAGTCACACGACTTGGCTACTGGACAACTGCCACAGGGCAGTACCCGGGTTTCCTGCAAGTGGTGTTACATAAGTTATGGCAGATGCACTGCCTTGTCTTTTAAAAAATCTGAAAACCTCTGAATTCTTAACCCAGCTGCTGCCAGGGTTCTGGATAGGAGATTGTGAACCTAAAACACAGAGTTGTTATTTCTGATAGACGAGGGGACCCAACCAGATGGCTCAGCTCGTCAAGCCTTTAGTCCCATCCCTGACAAAGTCTAAGGCGACATAATCCCGTGTTAAACCCCGGACTCCAATGCTTCCTCTGTGCTGCTCTGTGTCCAAGCAGTGAGGCCTTCAGGCTGGCTGGGCAGAGAGATGACCACAGCACTGACCCTCCTGCAGCTTTTCCATGTGGATAAGGCAAGGAGGGTGGTTAGCACCAGACCCATCACTGCCCAGGCATCCATCGGGTGTGTGAGACCTTATGGTAAATCCAGTGAGTCATCCCCTCGTTAATTCGTCAACCTTTCATTCACTCACTTACCACTTACCACGTACCTTTTGTGACCTCATGATGTCTCATGGAGAGCCACACACAAAATGAGAGGGACAGGGTGGAGGTTGGACTCAGTCAGGATTTCCCAGACAATGTTCTATAGAATCCAAGAGATGCTGATTTAAGAGGAAACAGATTTCCATGGTTAAGTCTTGAAAATGATGCATGAAACAGGGTTAAAACAGGTTTCTTCACTGCCACTCTTTTCTGGGTCTTTGATAATGTAATATGCATGGCTGACATCCAAAAGGGGGTGTTAGTGTTGCCCAAGGAAGACTTGCCCAAGGCCTCTGGG